ATATGCGTGTATGTGTGTTTGTGTGTGTGTGTATGTGTGAATTTGCTTTCACACGAACTTGAAACAGCGTACGTACGATCGTCTTGCGATGTATGCAGCACATCATATTTGTACATGCAAATTCATGAAACCCCGCTTTCGTAATAATAGCTGACAAATTTCTTGTGTGTGTTTTTGTGTGTGTTTGTGTGCGTTTGTGTGTGTGTGGTCGTCTGAAAGTTGTACAAAAGTTATGTAGCGCTCGTTTGAAGCGTACCAAAGAGTGTACACCTGCATGCAAATGTTTTAAAACCAGTCTTCGTACGATTATTCTCGTCGGAATGGAATATTCGCCAGGCATAAATTATTCAACTTCATCCTTTTTGATTTTGTTGATGTTGCTGTTGTTGTTGATGTTGTTGCTGTTGTTGTAGTTGCTGTTGCTGATGTTAATGTTGTTGTTGATGTTGTTGGTGTTAATGTTGTTGTTGTTGCTGTTGTAGTTGATGTTGATTTTAATGTTGTTGTTGATGATTGAACGATTGTAAAAGTAAAAATAAACAAACGGACAGATGAAAAATTAGACGAATGAGTGAACATATCAATGAACGAACGAACGAACGAACGAACAGCCCTAGCAAAAAAAGAAAATCTAAAAGTGTAATTAAATTTTATTAATTATTTTTAAACTTAAAAAGCCATTCAAGAAGTTTGAAATAAATTAAAATAAAGATAAATTTAATAAAATAACATTTCTGGTCGTTTTGAAATAAATAACTATTGACTGTTCTATTTTCATCTTATCTACTACCATCCCTACCGGGTTCACCTCTTTTTTCTCTCTCTCTCTCTTTTTCTCTTTCTTTCTTCTTTTCTTTAAAATTTTTATCTTTTTTTTTTAGTTTTCTTACTCTCACTCTTTCATTTCCTCACTCGTTCTATCATTCATTGTCATTTTACTGCTTTTTCACAGCAATTTTTCCTCATTTTCTTTCAATTGCTTTCTTTTATCTTCTCACTTTTATTCCTTTTCATTTTCTTTCTCATTCT